GCTTTTGCTTTTCCATCCCCTCCCTTCTCCTTTCAAAGAGCCGATCAAAATCCACCTGCGAGGAGCTCTGGTGGAGCCCAGCCTCCAGCTGCCGCGTTGGGAAGAGTCAGCATCATGGAGCAAGACTTATTTTGGGGAGGGGGGATCACGGAAGCGATCAGAAATAACCCGGACCCCTGGCAGGTTTTCTTTGGGCACTGTAGACATACGCTATTTTCTTTCCCATTTGGCATCCTTTCCCAAGCTCTTGTTTCCCTATTTTGTGCCATAACCCTTTTCATTCAACATTTTTGTATGGCTCTCAAATAATCCAAAGCCTAGATAAAGGCACACGCTTTATTTTTGGGTAGAGACACAGCTGGGAAAATACCACCAGGACTCAGCGAAAAGATGCCAACTCTTTCGGAGAACCTGGGATGCTAATTTTATGCTGAATTTTAGGGGTTGTTAGGGATGCAGTGACAGAGGTTCCTATTCATTTCCATGGGAGTTTGATTTGTGAGGGAATGAAAGAGGGAGCAAGCAAACGCTTGGTGAGGCCAGATCCTGAGCCAGTGGCAGAGGGCTCACAGGCGCACAAATTTCTTTGTTCCCATTTCTGCTCCTGATGGGAGGAACTCAGTCTTCACATTTTCATTCAAATATCTTCCTCTTAATCCTGTTTTCAGCTTTGCTGCTGTCTTCCCAAAGCTCCTCATTTTCACTAGGAGCTTATCCTTCACAAGAAGGTTTCCCAAATTCTCTCTTAGGTTGCCTCCCCTAAAGAAAGGTTTAATAGAAATTGTATTTAAAATTGATGGAGATACTGGAGGGGACTGGAATCCTCCTCCACCCAACCTACATCTTTGGGGAAAAGCTAATTGTGAATTTTTTTTCCAACATCACTTCCATGGAGCCAGCCTATTTTTGGAGGCAGATTCTTCTCTGAGCTCCCTGCTTTGCTGAATCCAGTTTCAGGATTATTTAGACACTGAGATTCATAACTATAACAGAAGAGCCTCTACTGAGAGTAAAACCTCATGGGGGACTTCACATTGCACAGGCTCATCATAAAAGAAATAAATATGTCCTGTGTCCTGTATGCAATCAGTGATGTTTGGAGCCATGGTAAGAATAGTCAAGTCAGGTGGGAGCCCCTTTGGTCATTAAGGTGTTCAGTAAAGCCCCAAATCCCTTTTTGGTGGCCTGGAGGGCAGCGTAGGTCTGGGACTGCTCCGCACCCCACCGTCGATGCGGGTGCTGGTGCCAGGGAAAATGTTCGTTAACTGCCTGCTCCTTATCACAGAGGTGGAAAAAGTAGTGGGATTAGTTGATATTAATAGAATATGCTAGTGGAGGGAAAAGACTCACATGATTAGCGCTAAGTACACTTAATCATGCATTATAGACGATATACATTTTGAAATAACCTCTTAACATAGCTTTGCTGAACTGGTGTTTCTCCAACAGCCTTGAAGAATAGCCCAGTGATCAGGCAATTAGCGTTAAAGATATTAAAAAGTCTCAGGAACAGGCCCATTTCCAGTAAGGGCCCGGAGAAAAAGCAAACGGGGTCATCCCTGAGACGGAGCATCGCGCCGAGACTTGCTGTGCAGCATCCCCTGCTCCCCTTGGGCATCCGATGTCAGCGCTTTTTATCAAAATACTGTCTAAAACAGGAAACTTCTGGCCAAAACAAAGCTTTGTAATGTTATTTCCCAAGGACTGCTTTTTTTTCTACGTCCTGGTGAGGATGGGAGCAGAGCAGGGAGGAAGGGAAGAGGATTTGGAGATATTACAGATAGCGCAGTCATCGCTTTTCACAACTTCAGATAAGACCATGTCAGTGTTTCTATTATAAATTCTATTTCAGGGGTTAATATCCCTGATATAAAAAAAAACAGCTCCAGGCTGGAACATGCAATAAAAGGTCTCTGTCGGTATGATTTGTCTCCAGATAATTAAAAATAAAACTCAAATCACTTCTCTCCCTTTTTTAAAAGTCCTGAAAGGCAAAAGGAGTTTGGTGTTAGTGTTTTCGTAATTTCATCCCACCCTGAAGCTAGAACGACAAAGAAATAGTTTTGCTTTCTATTTTAACAGCATGTAACAGGGAAATGTCACAGTCATCTCCTAAACCTGTAATTTCTAAATGAGTTAGAGAATTTGCACCCTCATTGGGGTCCTGCTGGACGTGTCCCTTCTCTTATTGCACTGGACCTACATGCATTTATGTTTTCCTGAGTTGAGCAGCCGAGCCTTGGTCCTGACTTAGTCTCCCTGTCACCCTTCTGGGACCAGGATGGGTCCCTGCTCTCCTCAGCCTAGGTGAGGTGCCAAATTTTTTTGCCAATGGAGACTCTTCAATGACCCACAATTGCCAAACCCTCCCTCAGAGCTGGTGCAAAGAGGAGGATTTTGATATTTTCTAACAAAAAAAAAAAAAGAGGACTTTTTAAAAGGCCATTTCCCAAGCTGCAGAACTAAAGGCATCTGTGGAAATCATTGCTGCATTGATTCTCAGAGCACCCCAACTATACCATTGCCTAGGTCGGGCATGAGCTTTCCCAAAGGTATTGGCCTCAGGGGCTGCCCGTGCACTGGCATGTGTTGCCCATCAGTTCACCGGGGTGTCCTGGAGACACATCAATCCCTGCTCTGCGGCGGGGTACCAACCAGTGCTACCAAACCAGGCACTGGTGGCTTTAAAAATGGGGATTGAGAAAGCGGGGGCGCAGCAAAATCCTCCCTCAAAGAGAAAGAGCACTCTGCAAGCTTGCGGTCATCCCGTAAGCTTTGCTCGCGCCAGCTTGGAAGCGAGCAGCTGAGCCCCTCCTGCTCGTCCCACGGCCGCACCGTGGATTTCCTCCCCCCTGTACTAATCACTTGACTCAGACAGCCCTGGCTAATTGGCAGGCTGGCGTGCACTTCCTCGGTGAGCACTCCTCACCTCTCTTCCTTGTCCCCATGACAACTTTTATGTCCGCCGCATCACCTACAGCATTTGGAGCAGATCTTTGTGCTCGTGGTACTTCGTATCCCCTCACCTTTCTTCCTTCCGTGCCCTTAATGATGCTGTGCTTAACTCGTGCCATTATCTTCGCTGCCGCTCGGTAGAGCTCGCAGCCCCTGCTAGCCTTTGTGCAGGTTTGTGTGATCACAGAACTATTCTCCAGGCTTTGCTTTCAATCATGTCCCGGAGTGCTGGATGCTTACCTTCAAACCCACGATCATGGCTGCATCTTCAAACACCCCTTTGTAACGGCGGCGGCTGAGGACTGAGGGGCAGATTTTGCACCGAAGCACCAAAAGCTGCTGGTGCACCATGCCTGGTGACCTGGTGATCCCCAGCCCAAGGCCCCGCAGGCAGCTGTCCCCTTGCAGACCCCCCTGTCCCTCGCCCATGGCGTTATGGAAGGAGGAGACCTGAGGTTAACCTAACCTTTTCCCTCCTATTCCTTCATTATTTTCCATCGGAGGCATCAAATGGTTTTGGACTCTGAGGACCCTCCTGGGGTGGGGTGTCTGTTTTCCCTCAGTGAGATTAGCCCCCGTCAAAGCACCCAGAACTGATCTGAGATGTTCTGTTGGGCTTCCTCTTGGTGTTGGCCGAGGTGGCCCCAGAGGAGAAAGCTCGATGGCCAAGTTGTCCAGAGTTGTAGGCTATTTTTCTGGTTTCTTGTCTATGCTTGCATCCAGCCCAATGGCCCTGGATGGTACCTGCCATCTCCTTACGTCTTCCTCAGGAAGACGGACACTGTCCTGGAGGTCTTTTTTTGGCTCCTTTGTTATCATCTTCTGAGCTGTCCCATTCAGGAGGGTGGGGACAGAGGCTGGGACCCACATCCCTCCGCTGGAGAGCAGCTACCTGCCGCACTCCCAACGTCCCCACCTCTTCCCACTGATGTTCCTCTCCACCGCCGACATCATGCAGCGATGCATCAACTTCGGTGTCGTGGATATTACAGACCAGCCCTTGTTCTTACAGAGGGAGAAGGGGCAGGACGAAAAACCTGCTTCTGTGTTGACAGTCCCTAGATTTCTCTTTGAAATGAGCTGTTGCAAAGCGTCGATCCCCTGCTCGCATCCCCAGGCTAATCCGAGCATCCCTTTCCTCCACAGGTGCCCTACTCCTGGTTGTGATGGCTCTGGTCACATAACAGGAAATTATGCATCGCATAGAAGGTAAGATCTCCCTTAAATTATTTTCTCTGTAGCTTCTTTCTGTTTTTTTTCCCCCTGCAGTGGGCAGAGTTGCAAAGTTCTGAATAAAACATTAATGTTACTGACAACTGAAGCCTATTTTCATCTCTTTAATCTGACTTCTCTTTTTTTTTTTTTTTTGATGTTTCCAGCATCTGATTAGAAGCTCCCTTCAACAGAATAAAAGACAAAGGGTCAGATTTTAGCTGATGCAATGTTCCTGTTAATAATGCTACCTATTTATGACTTCTATTATCACTTTAGAGCATTAATAGCAGAGATCTGAGCCTTCTGTTTCAACAATTCCATTAAACATCGCAGGCTGTTAGCAGATATCTTCTTATCTAGACACCATTAATTACTGTCCATCTCCCTCAATTTTTTATTATTTTTTTTTTTCTCCTGACTTCTTCTCGTGATGTGAAGCTGCAAAACGAGAGAGATCAAAAACACTGTGCGAAATTGAAGGGAAAGATGACTGAAGCGGGGGAATAGCAAATGCAGTGATTCTGCCAGTGAGACAGGCCTTTCTTCTCTTTTTAACCACAGTCTGTCAGGCTGCCCTCGTGCCAAGAAAAGTGGGATCAAGATCACCCCGACAAAGGATGATAAAGAAGACCCAGAACTGATGAAGTAAGTCTGGATGAAACTCCCGAGTGGACCCTTTCGCTCAGTCCCCTTTGCCTCGCACAGATTTACGTGGGGGAGCAGCGTCCATCCCGCATCCCCCCTCGCTCGTGCTGCTCGGAGCATCGCCTGCCCGCGCTGGAGCGGGCGCTGCCAAAGCTCTTCTGCTGGTTTCCAGGGAATTCTGCAATCCCAAAAATGGTGTTGCAATTTTGAAATTTGATGGGAAAATTGGGTGGTGGGGAGGTAATGGTGTATTTTTTCTTACTGGTTTTTGCAGATGTGAAAGGTAGGTTGGTAGGGCACGAACAGTTCCTCTCCTACCCGTGCTTTATATAATTCCTAAAAAAACCCACCAGTGTTGTAAATGAGGGTAAGACCCCACAGGTAAGCAAAATGTTGCAGATTTTTGGGCATTAGTGGGCAGGCGAGGGGTGCTGGAGGGCTCGCTTAACTCCCAGGAACACGGTAGAAATAGAAACTATCCAGCACTGAGTCGGGTCAGGATCCGGTAACCCCGAATAAGACATGTTTTGTAGAGTCTTTGCCATGGCTGAATATTCAAAGCGAACAGAAGAAGCCTTTCTCTGCTGCCTCGGGCTGAATTTTTCAGAACATCCCAGGGGCTTTATTCCTACTGGGAACAGAGATTTTAAATCTCTTAGTCTGCCTCGGGAGCTTTCATTTGCTGTGAAATCCATTTGTCCTGAATTTTAGCAAGGCTGAGCATCACGGGCTCGGCGTCCAGGGCCTGACGCGAGGTTCGGAGTCTGTGTCTCGACCCCTCACGCAACTACAGGACGTCAAAGCCTTTACAGCAGGGCTGGGGCCAGCACTGACTCCAGCATCCTATTTTTTGTTAACGCAGAGCATCCCCAGCCTTTCTGGAGACTGTCCACTCACCCAGCAAGCGCAGGTGGAGGGGGTTAAAGAGAAAGGTGGAAAAACTTATCAAGCGCCTCCAAGAGTTTCCGGATGCCCATGAGCGCTAGCATTTCTGGCCAAACCCCTTTGGCTCAGCAGACTGTCCCCAAATGCATCTTTTTTTCCCCCATTTTAGCCCTAGGGCAGGTCTTGTCCTTGCAGAAGAGCAGAGGTGAATTACCTTTCCCTGGAGCAGAGGCTGTGCCAGAGCGGGAACAAGTGGGTGCGGAAGAGCCCGGTGGAGGCTGCGGGAAACCAGGATGCGTGAGCTCAGGGAAGGACCTTTAAGAAAGAGATGATATTTGAGCCATCTGCTCTGTTTTTACTCCTCAGTCTACAGGAAGGAAAGCCTCCTAGTTAAATGAGCCGTGTGATAATTAGCTTGAGTTAGCAGAGTTTATTAAAAATTAAGCAACCTGCTCGAGAATCTGTGGGAAAAAATCTTTTTTTGGCTCAAATACACTGAATTGCTGGTGGCGTTGTAATGCTGTGCCATTAACCAGTGACACAGCGAAGGAAAGGACAAGCAGCAAATGCTGTCGTGCAACTGCCGGCTGTTGCATGTTTGCTTCTTTTACCGCAGTCGGAGGCCCCTGGTTGGGAGGTCGCCCCTCTCCACGTTTTCCCCAGGGACACGGACCCTGCGGGGCTGGGGAAGCCGTGGCTTTGCTCACCCTTGCCTGCCCCGTTCGGGGCCGGGACCGGTCGGTGATGTGCCAAGCGGCTCCCCCAGCGCGGTTTCTTGGCAAATATATTGCTTCCCAGTGCAAGGAGAAAGGGGCTTTTATATGGCTGTTTTGTCGTGGTGCAGCTGGCGCTTGTACAGGAACGCGGGACGAGCTGTCAGGCATCCCCAGCAGGACAACGGTCCCCCCTGGTATCCTCACCAGGGGTTGGGTCTCTCCTAGTCCACCTAAAGGTGCAGACGCTGGGAAGCTAAAGTGGCAACAAATGGGGTTGGAGCATCACCAGAGCTGGGATTTTCTGACTCCTACAAAGCTGACGTTGTCCACCCCCGGGCTGGCCTTGGAGGCTCGTTGTGGCTCTGCTGCACTGTCTTCGGCGGGCCCGTGGGTGCAGGCGCAGTCAGTGCCAGGTGGGCACGAGGGTCTCCACGGCATGAGGGCATGAAGGCATTCCCCAACGTCCCGCGGCACGGGCAGCAACCCCCGCTCCTCCAGTACACCCAGGAGGAGCAGAAGCTCCTCTGAGATGTGCAAAACAACACGGTACAACAATCCCTTCCCCGCTGCCTTCCCCCAGCCCTTGGAAAGCTTGTGTTCTGCCTCCCACAGCAAGGTGCGCCCGGTGCGGCTTTGCATTAAGGAGCTTTCGCTCTAAATCCATCCTCCGTCTGCACCGAGCGCCACTTGGAACCCAGCCGAGTTTTGCACATCGCCACCGAGGAGAAAGTCATTTAGTCCCTGTTGGTTTTGCTGTTCATCCTTCAAGTAATTTGCTACAGACATGATTGAACAGATCACCTCAACCTTCAGCCCAGCCCTGGCATAAAGTGGAAGCATCCACGGCTGCCTAATTGATCAAACACTACTGGTGCCTCTGTTAAATAATAATCATTTAAAAAAAAATAATTTAAAAAATGTCCAAACCAGCTGTTTTGCACAATAAGGCTCCGGTTTATTTTTTAACAATGAAAATGTAATGAAAGTTAAATTAACAGCCTAAAATATGTAACGGTTGGGCCGTAATGGCTGCATACTAAATGCTGGGGTTAGTCTCTTTCTCTCTCATGCTTCGCCCCCCCCCGCTCCTTTTCCTCCTGAGGATTCAGTAATTTGCTCGTGATCATATAAAAGCAATGATGTTATGAATTTACTGAGGATCCTGCTGGCAGGGATATTATAAGTGAATTGTGCTGCATTTGCAGCTGATTAAAATCGAGATCAGCATTTTTCAAATTATCTTGGGAAAAGGCTGGGTGTACAGCTCCCCCCGTCTGCTGTCATCTCCCTTTTGTACGAAATATAAACAATCAGGGTAATCATTTCTGCGGTGAAACGCAGCTTGCGATTTTCAGGAGCAGGTCAGCGGATATTTTGCTGGGGAAACTTAAATCCCTAATTGCTTTCAAACCGAGGACACGGGGTTAATTTTGCCATTTCTTACCTACTTTTCCTCCCACCCCTCCTTTTTTAGAGTAGCCTCCCTTGAGTAATAAACTTTTAACTGTATTTATAATTGACTAGCATCTTTAAACAAACCACAGCAGAAACCTTAATAGATACACCGGCCTTTGTCGAACGGCTGAATTTAGTGAGTATGCCGTTAGGCGGGGAGTTTGTGAGCAGGGAGGAAGGAGGTGCCTATTAGAGAGGCACTCAGCCTCTTGGCAATTAGCACAAGTTGTGTCAGTGCTTCCATGATGCCCCTCGCAGCTCCTGTGTGCTTTAACCGGCCATAAACGGCGGCAGAAGCACGGGGGCGGGAGGGCTCGTGCACCGCCTTGACGATAATTCCCACTTTTATCCCTTTGCGAGCGCAGGTTGATCTCTTGATAGCTGCGGGATGTGAACCAGGAGGAGGAGGAGGCAAGCGAGGCTGTGCCGCGGCTGCAGGCTGAGCGGTGCCGCAGGGTTTATTTGTCCTGTCTGATGGGGTACGGACTTGGAAACCCCTCGGTTGCCCTCCTTGCAGGAGCAGGTTTGCAGCTTTTCAGTGCACAGGTTGCAGCCCGACCGGCTCCCGGGTCAGGGACTGGTTCACAAGGAAGGGTTGTGTCCCCATGGGTACAGACAGTGCTCCTAGATCGCGTTGACCGTGCTAGTGTAGGGTGATAAAGTTGATGACCCTGGGTTCCTCTGCAGTAACACCGGGCAGAGCTGGGTGTAAATTTGTGATGGTTCGGTGCGAGCGTGTCAGCCTTGAGGTAACGTTGGGATCCCACGTCAGGCCGCCCTACCTGCCATCTTTGCCCTCAATGAGGCACCAAACATACGGTTTGGGACACCACTGGGACCTGCTTTTGCTGCAAGTGTAAGTGTGATGTGACCTCCACAGTCTTTCCCTCTTGCAGGATTTACCTTGGTTCTCTTTTGCTCTCTTGAAAGGGCAGTCATAGCTCTTAATTTCCGATCTGCCATTTCCATCAACTAAGCATCTACCCCATAAAGTCCAGATGAGATCCCTAAATGCGAATGCTCTCTTCCCAGGCTTCCTCGTTCCTGCTCATCCCTAATTTCCTTATGTCCCTCTTCATTCCCGTGCTATAATTTTTGGTAATTCCCTGTGCCCAGGTGTCCGGTTCCTGGCTGCGTTGGGCTCGGACACATCAGCGGCAAATATGCCTCTCACCGGAGCGCATCAGGGTGCCCTCTCGCAGCCCGCAGGCAGAAGGAAGGATCGCTCAATGGGTCCTCATTTTCCTGGAAGTCGTTGAAGAATGAAGGCCCAACCTGTCCTACGCCGGGCTGCGACGGCTCTGGCCATGCCAACGGGAGCTTCCTCACTCACAGAAGGTAAATCGCAGGGTTGAAATCACTGGGAGCGTGGCAACATTGCCATGGACTAACCTACCTGCCTGTAGATGCTCCTTGAGCATGGTTCAGCTCTTCATGCAAGGCTCAATAGCTGGTGCTTTTGATGCTGACCTCAGTCAGGTTGCTCCAAGGTTGGACCTTTCTGCGCGGAAGAAAATGCTAACTAACAATATGTGAGTTATTTTAATATTGCAATGGTGAGATGGGGATTGAGTAAAATCATGAAAATTGATAATATAACGTCCTTCCATGAGCAAGGCAGAACAGGACCCACCCCAAATGGGGGATCTGACACCCCAACCAGCCAGACTTGTCTCACCTTCCTCACCTGTCATGCCCTCTCTTTTACGAAACAATGTGGTTTTTAATCTTTGTTCAGAGAAAATTGCTCTCGCGTTATAAATGGGGAGGTTTGTGGCATTATTCATAAAGCAATTTCCTCTGTACCGTAAAAAGCTTTTAGAAGAACTGTCTCGCAGCATGAACTCCACCAAATGGTACGTGCTCTTGTTGGGAACATAAGCACCTAGAAATACTGAGAGTTTATGAAACCCCTTTTTACTTGCTTTTCAGTTTGTCAGGGTGTCCAAGAGCTACTTTTGCTGGGAAGAAAGGAAAACTCTCAGGGGATGAAATTCTCAACACAAAGTTCAAGACCAGCGATGGTAAGGATTTTCACTCCTTCTGCTTTGCAGGTGCGTCGGGGTATTGAGCCCGTATATCTTTTTCTTTGCAGACTGGAGAGGTTTCAACACAGAAATCTGGCCTCAGATTTGCAAGCTTATCATGTGCTATGAGCACCCATTTCTTGGGTTGCCTGGGTATCGGGGTGGCATGATACCGGCACCGCTCCCCAAGTGACGTACTGCGAGGGAGCAGGTGAAACGATAAAGAAGGCGTTTCCATGGTGAAATTCCAGGCAAAAAGAATTAATGCTGAAATTGAGATTTTTTTTTTTTTTTAAATATTCACTGGCATTTTTACAAATCACTTGCAGTCATTCAGCGATTTTCACCTATTCAGGGCTTTTAATCCTGCAGATATTTCTGGATGTGGAATTTTGTTAGCTATGGCAGTTTGCTTTTCCAGTGCTATTACTGAGGTTTCTGTGGTATTTGACAAGGTTCAGGCATTTGACTTGAATACTTATATAGTTTGGAATCTATAAATACCCGCACTCTTCTAGAAATATTGCTTTATTTTATGAACCTCGTAATTTCTAATCAAGACATGCATTAGTTTTTTAAATGTCATCTTCCCAAACTCAGGACTGGACAGAGTGACCTGAGTTTTCAGGGCAATCAACCTTGCAGGGTGCGTGGAGGTGCTGGACTCCAACCGCTATGCTGTCGTTGGCTTTTGCATTTACATATTGACCTATAAAGTACCATTGAACCATGATGCTAAAAACCTTACTAAAAAACTAAAAATAAAGCAGGTGAGATGTGCATCCCGTTTAGAGGACGTAAAAAGCAAAGGCAAGGACTTTGTGAGTGGTGATGTCCACGCAACAGGATGGGCTCAGCAGAAAGCTCAACATTTTTGCTTATCCCGCAAGCGCTTGCTGACTGCCCGTGACCTTCTCTCCCACAGTTCTGGAGAACGATGAAGAGATCAAGCAGCTGAACAAGGAGATCAGTGAGCTGAACGAATCCAACTCGGAGATGGAAGCCGCCATGGTGAAACTGCAGTCGCAGGTTTGTGTGCTTTGGACGGGCATCCAAGCCTGTGGATGCACGGCCAAGCCCCTTGCATGGGTGGTGGTGGGTGCCGTCGCGTGAGGGTTGGTAACCCCGCCATGCGCCTTGCTCTGCAGATCTCCACCATGGAGAAGAACCTGAAGAACATTGAGGAGGAGAACAAAATCATAGAGGAGCAAAATGAAGCCCTGTTCCTGGAGCTCTCAGGGTTGAGCCAGGCTCTAATCCAAAGTCTTGCCAATATCCGCCTTCCGCACATGGTAAGAAACTTTGACAAGCGCTCGCCCCAGCCAGTGTGATCGAGAGAGCCGTGCCAAACCCAATTCACGATAAGGCTTATGTACAATTAAAGAGTGGGAGAATTTCTCTATATACACCTACGTGTCCTTTATAAGATCAGTATTCTTGCCTTATCTCTGAAGCTTGCATTATATCTCCCTTTTGTTGTCATTTTCTGCTGATCTCCCTTTGTATCTATTGTTCTGTCTCATTACATCTGGGAGCATTATCACAAAATAGGAAACTTTATCAAGGGCACCCAGCGCCTTTTAGGCTAAGACAGCACAAGCAGAGATCAGGAGGGATTGGATTTCAACGTCAGAAAGATCTTACAGCTCCTATTATAATGCAGGTAGTTTCAATTCAGTTTTGAATAGCTGGCAGCCAAAGAATAGCATTCTTAAAGAGAGTGTATTTTGTTTAATTTAACAAGGTCTAACAGCCCACAGCATGTTACACAGAGTTACTGCAAAATGAAAAGACTGCATTAAAATAGTAAAACCACAAAAGGCTATTAATTACCTTCTCTCTATTCCCAGGAATGTAATTACTGTTGTCAAAACCAGGTGTGTGGAGGGGGGGCTCGTGTTGTTGGGGAAGCTGTCCTCTTACAACTCATAAAGACCATCGCAGTGATCATAGGAATGAGCTTTTGATTTATTTTTTCTGCCATCAGTTTTTTTGGGAATCCTTTTCATTGGGGTTTGTATTTAATTTCAGGCTGGTTGGAGAGAAGCCATCCTCCAGCAGAGCAGTTTTGGATAGTATTCACCCAGCTGCCTAACTGGCAGAAAACCGCTCGCTGAGTGCTTTTCTGTGAAGTATTTGACACATAAAGGTCAAATAAACTGTTCAGCAAATATTTTTTCAAGGTTTCAGGCAATTCCAATTAAATAATGCCCACGAGACTTGTATGCTCATTTTATTCCTGTTCTTTTTCTTCCTTCTCCCTTTCTTTTTCCCCCATTAACTCCAAGTTAGATATTTGCAAGGTTTCCACGATGCCCCTCAAAAGCAAAAGCTGTACTGCAGCAGCGTGCTGGTGGGGGCAGATGTGAGCCCAAGGTGACCGGGCTCCTGTCCTAACTTTGCCTTTGATTCCGTCCGCGATGCTTCAGCAGTCCCTGCCTCCTCTCGTCCTCCAGCCCTTCATTTCCATGGCTTAATTCAGCCTCAAGCCTGTCAAACTGCCTGCACACGCTTAACCTGATGCTGTTAATAGTTCCACGAGGCCAGTGCATAAAATTAAGGACCCAGTTAAGATCTGGCAGGTTCAGGGGTTGCACAAAGAGGTTCCCATACACACAACACCGTGGACAAAAAGGGTCCGACGTGGAAACCTTTGGCCGTTGGTACATACAGACGATTAATTGCAAAGAAACATCTCAGCCTCTTCCTGCTCTACTACTAACACTTTTATTTGGCTTTTTTGGCTGCAGGAGCCAATTAGTGAGCAGAACTTTGATGCATACGTGAACACGCTGACTGACATGTACACCAACCAGGAGTGCTACCAGAACCCGGAGAACAAGGACCTGCTGGAGAGCATCAAGCAAGCCGTCAAGGGCATCCAGGTTTAGCGCTGGGATGGAGACGAGCAAGTGAACAGACTGTAAGATGGAACTTTCCCTCCAAGTATTCAGGTTTACAAGTTAGAAAACTTGTTTAATGAATGGAAAAAAAAAAAAAAAAGAAAAAAAAGGACCAAAATGTAACCAAGAGGCCATTTCTGAGACGTGGAACTGACCGAACTCAATGTTCTCGTTTACTTAACTTTGGACCTTCTTGACAAAAGTGGGATTTTTCTACCTGGACCACGAGGTAGATCAGGATGGAAGGTTAAATTCTCCAGTAGGCTGTGGGGCTCGGTAGCTGGTGAAGAGCAGGCATCTTTCATGAGTTGCCATGCTCTTGCAGAATTGATCCAAGAGTTAAAACGTTACAAAAACAGGGTCTTGTCTGATCCAAGACTAGCGTATGACTGGCTTAAACGCTCATGTTGTCTATGGTTGTATGTCCAGATCACCTACTCACACATGAATTATGTTCTATGTTGCTACAAGTGCTGGAGCTGCAAGCTACCTGTAAATCTGAACCTGTGCTGGGCCTCCCAACCCCGAGGTGTTCAGATATCCACTGGGCATGGGAACTCTGAAGTATTATAAAGTAGCTTATTTTTATTTTCTGAAAGAAATCTGAAGAGCAGTTCTGGATCTCCAGTGGAAAGCGCAATGGAAAAAAGGTTCTCAGGGAAGCTTTTGGAGTTTGCAACTACAGTATTCCTTTGTCTGTCTTAAATATGAGAATAGCTATTATGAATAGGCCAATACCAGATATTTCATACAGAAGAATTCTTAATGTGTCATGGTCCGGTGTATATGATTTTTTAGAAGTCTGTTTGATGACAGTTCTGGTTCTTTTCATTATTGTGATCATCCTTACAGTGGCGCAGTACTGCCAGTCCAGAGATCATACATCAATGCCAGAGAACGTTTGAGATTGCGATGAACAACAAAAAAAAAAAAACAAAAAAGAAACAAAAACCAACAAAAAGAGAGATGTTAATTAATGGCCAGCAAAGTGCTTACCTACCATGAATCGGTGGTTGATTTCTTACAGGTATCCACAGGGCAATGGGTATTTTTTGGTTTGGTGTTCTACATTTTGCGCAAAATCACAGCGCAAGCGCCATTCTGCAAAAAAAAAAAAGGAAAAAAAAAAAAAAAAAGAGTATTCAGGTATTGGGTATTCTTCCAAAGAAGCATTTTGTAAGCAGCTCGGTACACGCAGCCCACTGTGCACTTAAAGAACAACTCTATGAATGTCTTTGCGACGCTGCTCTCCAGCACCTGCTCCATCGCGCGTGGAGCCGGCTGTCACCCCGCGGGCTCGCTCTCCCCACCTTCGCTCCCATACGGAGCTTGCTGTCCCCCTCCTGCAAACACTTGGGAAGCGGAGGGGGGCAAAACCTCCCGAGGGGTCCCAGCGCGGGGAGCATCCGCATCCTGCATCCCGCATCCCTCCCGGCGGCGGGGCGGGCAGAGCTGGGGAGGATTTTGCTGACCCATACTAAAGGCAAGACTGTGGTGTCGTTTCGAGCCCAATCCTGCAGATATTTAGGGCACAATCCACGATTCAGAGAAGTCAGGAGAAAGCTTGCCAGCGATGGCAGCGGCCAGTGGATCCGGCCCCGAAGCTCACGAGTGACTTGGCTTGTGTCGGTTCCCCTGCTGAGTTCAACAGGGCAGCCGGCGTGAGTGGGTTCACTCGCACACTTAAGTGTTTGCAGGATCCGACTCCATGAGTTCACTTATTTTAGAACCCATTCCAAGTGCAAAAATACAGAAGGGAAAAAAAATAAAAATAATTTGAGGTGTTAAAAACACAATGTTCTTAACATGTAAATAGAGTCCAAATTGATTGTGACTGCAATTCAGTTAGTATTTAAAAGTAGAGAAATTGCACTTCCTGGAAGAAAGAGAGGGAAAAAAAAAAAAGTAGTTAGTTTAATTATCCTGTAAATTATTTAATTTTGGCAAGATGTATGTAATTTATATTTACAACACCTTATGTTAACTTTTTGCTATTTATTTAACTTTTTTATTTATTAATTTTATACTTATTTTAAACTGGACACCGCACCATAGAGAAGAAGATAAAAGAAGCAAAAAAAAGTTAAAAATTAAAACTTTTGACCATAAAAAAATGATATTCCAAAAAAAAGAAAAAAAAGAAAAAAAACCCTATCTACAACTCCTACTTGTAATTTTGATGCAACCAAGTTATTTTTTATATATTTTGTTATTTATTCTTTTAACGATGGGAATTTTTTTAAAGATATTTTATAACTGAGACATTTTGATAATTTTTTGGTTTGTTTTTTTGTGGGGGCAGGGGCACCGGGGGGAAGAGAGACTTTTTCAGTTTTTCTTTTCTTTTTCATTCATATTGTTTCAGGCACTGATAACAGGAAATGAAAATTCTGTATTTATTATTTATTTAATATTTAAGTCGGGAAAAAAAATGAACTGTGCTCTTGTTGTATATTTATTTTGTCGTTTGTGTGTCAGTTATGTGATGACTGAGTACTTGTTTATGTGAAGGAATACTGTTAATATTTAAATAATAAAGAGTCACATTGAAAGTTATAGCAGGCTACATGTTATTCTGTGAAAACGAATACTGTGATCTACTTTCCTCAGGAAATGTATTTTGCAGACAGAACTTCCTTATGTAATGGCAGGGTTATTTCGTAATAAAACCCAGTTCTGTTTGTGACTTTAGTTCCTATGGTCTTTCTTCGAGCTGCTGGAAACGTCCCCAACGGGTCCCTGAGGGGCTTCGTCCTTGCTCCCGCGCTGTGGCTTGGAGGGTCGGCGTGTGTCCCCCCCCTCGGAGCTGCAGCCAGGGACTGCCCACCCCAAACCTGGCTCTCCCCGCCTACTAAATTGGGGGATTTAGGGGGAATTTAGGCTCGGTATCTCTCAAGGCTTTGAAGAATAAGGAGCTGTCACCATCCAGCCAAACAGGTGCCTAAAATCCCGCTAGTCCCGTGATGGGGAGAATCAGAAGTCCAAGCAAAGGTGTCTATTTATTTAGTCGGTTGCTGGAGCCCCTTTCCCAAGGCAGAAGGGCTGCAGGCAGCGTTCCTCTGGGCAGGGGTCAC